CTGCCCGCCCCGGGGGGGGTTGGCGGGAAGCTCCTGTCACTCGACCCCGCTCAGCGACTCCGGGAGCTCGGGGGGAGGAGGGGGCGGTGTGCAAGAATGTGGACGGAGACAGCTCTACTGTATGCGTGGATCCGAGTGTCTGCGAGGCGCCGGCTCTCCGCCGCGTTTGTGCCTGGAGCAGAGAAACTGCGCAGGACGCGGAAAGCCCAAGCCTCGATGGAGTTGGGCGGCCGCCCTCCCTCTGCGCAGTCCTCGTCCAAGGGCGCTGCCGGGCACCCCGGGGAGCTGGGGGAGCGGTGGGAGGCGGCCGTAGTAATAGCGTGTAGTAGTTTGGGGTTCTGCGGAGAAGGTGCTGGAATTTAACTGTGCCTCCGCCTGCCAGAGCCAGCCTGCAGAGGGAAAGGGAGGGGACAGGGGAAGGGCTCCGAGTGGCACCAAAGCTGTTTGTGGTACAGTGTTGACCATGAAAACAACAACAAAAAAAACAGGCATTGTCTTGCGGGCTGAAACTTTTTATCGCTCTCTCCCGCCAACGTCCGTCCCCCCCCCCTCCACCCCCCCACCAGGCTGTAATTATAAATCTGCCCCCTTTCTCTTCCGCAGAGAGGGAGGCAGGCACAAAGAACATTCCTGCCAAACCTGCCTCTTTTCTAAAGGACTTCAAGCTTCCAAATGCCAATGGGGGAAAAAACAGCTGAGGGGCCGAACGCCTTAAAAATAAATAAACCCGCCCCAACCCTTCTGTTCACTTTGTGGACCAGACACGGCACTGGGACGTCCCCTCACCTGTCATCTTCGGTAAAACAGATACAAAAATATGGAGAAACAACCCCTTTGGGGGCGGGGCGGGCGGGTTAGGGGGGAGTTGAAGCATGGAATCTGCTTTTGATTTAAGGAGGGGAATAGATCTCTTTTTCTCTACAGACCACATAGAATCTTCTCTCCCACCCCACGTTTAAGACCAATTAAAGCTACAAACAGTAAACTGCTGGCACTTTGCGGTTTTGAGACCTCTTGTTCCAGTTTTACCAGCAATACAGTACTTTGGCGGGAGGAATGGGTCAGTGTTTGCTGAGACAATTTTATTTTTAGTTTTATGAAGTGTGAAAGAATGTTAGGTTTTAAATCACGGGCCTATTATTTTAGACTCAGATTGATGTAGGTGCTTGACTCTTAAAATTAAAACTGCTCCTATACAACAGTGTTATGAAAGTATGATTTATTCTTTATTTTGTAATGTAATGGCTTAAATTAGTCATTCAAAGTGCACTGTGACTACTTGGTTGAGGATTTTTCTCCCTCGAGTAAAATCCTATTTTAAGGCCACTTCACTGTTGCAAATTGACTCTATTTGAGCAATCTGGTCTGAAATGCAGTTCGAGGATGCTTAAAACTATGCGCTGCATCCCTTGAAGACGCCAGGCAATGGAAAGAACACCGAATGCTGCATGTGGTCATAAAGTGGCAAGAATTGTTTACCTTGCTGGTCCACTGCTGGCCCAAGAGGAGTCTGCAAGGGACCATTTTCAGGGGTGTCCACAATCGCCCACCCTGTCCTTTTCTAAGGCCTTGCTATTTGCTTGTCAACTTTATCTTCATAATTTTCTGTCTATCCCAACGTGAATCTCAAGACAATAAAAGATAACACATCTAAGAGAAATTGAATATAGTGTGCCCTGAAGAATCTTTTTTAAGAACTTTCTCTGCCTGAGGATATGCCAGTGTAACTGCTAACTGGAAAAAAAATACAGCAAGGAATCTTAAACAAAATTAGCAATGTAGTAAAGTATAACTTCTAACTGCCCAATAAATTGCAACCAGTAATATAGCCAGATAGCCTCGTTGTCTATAAAAGGGCTTTAACCTAGTGGCAATACTTACTACGTTAGGTAATATTAGGTTTTAATTTTGGGGAAGGGGGAGGGACTAATTTGTTTTCCTGACATGCCAACCTCACATGCCATTTTTCAGAAATTGGTGTCTTTACCATATTTCCTTGAGAATAAGGGTCCTTTATCCCTTTAAGACTCTACCTCCACTTGCCATGCCAAATTTCAAAAGGAGAACAATCTTAGTAAGACACAGGAGGAAGAGATTAGCCATTTTTTCTGGCATTTTGTCAGAGAGAAATGGCTACATATATATTCTTTGTTACATGTATATATATTCTTCAGCTCATATGAAATGTTGATGCAATACCTGGAGAGATGGGTATCCATGTATTATATGCACAACTGTGGGAACTGAAAAATAAAACCTGTCATTGGGAGCAGAGATTAAATATAGATATTCCATCCCGTACTCCCTTCACAATGGTCTAAGAAAGCACCACCTTCTCCCTTCAGGTCTTTCCTCTGAAGAATTTTCTTGTTTGTAGCTTGGAATGCAGCAAGTATGAATTTTATAAAATAAGACTTGTGCTCAGGAGAAATGAAAAGGCAGCACCATTCACTCGGTACAAAAAGAAGATTGTAGAACATATAGCATGAGCTTCCCATCTGAGGTAAAGCAAAATTTAAGAATTGATGTTAAGGAGAAAAATGATGGGGTTCTGTTGTTTTGCAGAAAATCACATGAAAGCAAATATAGTTGGAGGCTAAAAGGACTCTGGGAGGCTGCACAGGATGTTGTACTCACATGAAGCTTTGCCTTTAGGACTTTGATGAGTCATAATGTGTTCTCTGAACTTGCTTTTTCTCTATCTGGTTTAGTTACCAAGGGATAGAAGTCACCTTTTCATGTTTGTATGGCCACATTCACTGGTTATGTAAGCCTGCCATGTTGGCGTTCTATATAGTGTAGATTTTGGGGTTGAAAACTGATATGTAATTATAACACCTTCATAAAGAAAATGACCATACACAAAGTTAGGCAGCTTCTAGTCCCACCGAGCAAACTGTTGATGCTGACTGAAATGTTGTCCAGCTTCAAACAGGAGCAGGTAAGGCCATAAGGAATGAGTGTTTTATCTGCAGTAATGGACACTAAACTTTGACAAAGTGAATCAGCCGACATTTAATTTAGTGAAAGGCCATGACTGGGTAGCTCAGTTGGTTAGAGCGTCATCCCAATATCTGAAGGTTGTGGGTTTGATCCCAGGAAGGGAACATACAAAAATCAACCAATGAATGCATAAATAAGTGGAACAACAAATTGATGTTTCTCTCTCTCTCTCTCCCACTCCCCCTTCCTCTCTCTAAAATCAATAAATAAAAAATTTTAAATATTCTTTTTCATCTCTTACTATAGCCTTTGTTTTAAAGTCTTTTTGCCTGTTACAAGTATTGCTCTCCCAGCTTTTTTTTCCATTTCCATGAAATTTTTTTTTTCATCCCTTTACTTTTTTCAGTCTTTGTATTTTGTTCTGAGGTGGGTCTCTTTTAGACATCATTTATATGGGTCTTATTTTCTTATCCATTCAGCTACCATAGGGTCTTTTGATTAGAGTGTTTAATCCTTTACATTTAAAGTAATTATTAATAGTTACATATGCACTGCAATTTTATTCTTTATAACTATGTTCCTGGATAATAAAGACCATTATAAACTTAAGAACAATAATAGATACAGAGGCAGAGCTGCCTCAAACAGATTGTCAAACTGCAGCGGGAAGGCCGGGGAGAGTTGGGGGGCAGGAGGAAGGTCACATTCTGAAGTACTAGGGTTAGGACTTCAACATACCTTTTTTTAAAAATATATTTTTATAAGCATAACCAATGGACACAAGACACTGGGGGGTAGGGGAGGCCAGGGCGGGAAAAAGGAGACATATGTAATACTTTTGTAATACTTTAAGCAATAAAACAATTAAAAAAAACAAAACAAAACAAACAAACAAAAAAACTATGTTCCTCTGTGTTTTTTTTTTATTTCTTTCTTCTTTTTAAATAAATCACTTTTATATTACTTGTAATACTGGTTGGCTGGTAATGAACTATTTTTTCCTTATTTTATTTTTAAATATATTTTTATTGATTTCAGAGAGGAAGGGAAGGGAGAGGGAGAGAGAAATAGAAATATCAATGATGAAACAGAATCATTGATCGGCTGCCTCCTGCACACCCCCTACTGGGGACTGAACCCACAACCCGGGCATGTGCCCTGACTGGGAATCGAACCCATGACCTCCTGGTTCATAGGCTGATGCTCAATCACTGAGCCATGCCAGCCAGGCTCACTTTCCATTTTAAATGATAGCCTTGCTGGGTAGAGTAGTCTTGGTTGTTAGTTCTTGCTTTTCATCACTTTGAATATTTCATTCTGATCCCTTCTGGCCTGAAATGTTTCTGTTGAGAAATCAGCTGACAGTATTATGGGAGCTCCTGTGTAGGTAACTAGGTGTCTTTCTCTTGCTGCTCTTATGTTTCTCTTTTTGTCTTTAACTTTGCCATTCTAATTAAGCTGTCTTAGTGTGGGCCTTTTTGCTTTCAACTTGATTAGGACTCTCTGTGTTTCCTGGACTTGTGTGTCTTTTTCCTTCATCAGGATAGGAAAGTTTCCCCCATTATTTCTTCAAATAGATTCTTGATCCCTTGCTCTCTCTTTCTTCTCCCTCTGGTATCCCTATGATATTATGATTGATGTTATAGCAGAGGTCTTTTAGACTTCCCTCATTGTTTTAAATTATTTTCTGTGTTGTTCTGCTTGAGTATTCTTTGTTAACTTGTCCTTTAAATTGCTTCATCTAACCTGCTGTGATTTCTTCTAGTGTATTCTTCATTTCAGACTAGTTATTTTTGTTGTTGGTTCCTTTGTCCTTTTTTATGCTTACTGCCTCCTTGTCTAAGTTCTCAATGAGTTTATCCAGTCTTCCTTGAGCATCCTCAGAATCATTTTTTAAAACTCTCTATTTGGTAGATTGCATGCTTCCATTTCATTTAGTTCTTTTTCTGAGGCTTTGTCCTGTTGTTTCATTTAGGGCATTTTTCTTTGTCTTTTCATTTTGGCT